TTAGAATTGAGCACATTACAGACAGGACGGAATCAACGAGATGATTTAAAGCTTGAAACAACATCATTTTCATTTACAATAACATTTTTGGACTGTTTTTTCCCTTTGAGATTCACCTGAAAAATAAAAAAAAATGAAGAAATGTTAAACTTTTTCATAGGATTGATTGAGTAATAGAATTGCAAAATGACTAAAATGCATCCTGGATAGATTTTTGGATAAATGGATAGATAAGACAGATGGATAGATATATCTTTTGATGAATAGGACATGACATAGGAATAGATAGGATAGATTAGGACAATTTACAATACTGCCTACTGTACAGTTTTAAAAATGTGGATAGAAATGAAATGAATGGAGTTTTACGTCCTACTTTTCTGCACCATGTGGGCTAATGAAGACGGGAAAAATGTGGATAGAACCAGCATACAAAATAAGATATTGGATACAATTATGTATGGATAGATAGTTGGATAAACAGACAGACAGACAGAAAAGGACAGGGCAGCTACTGGAATAATAGATGGCCAAATGGATAAATATATAAATCTATCTAGATAGATATATATCTACGTGTAGGCCGTAAGACCAAACAGGTCCTACAAATATATCAGTTGCCCCTCCAAACAATCAGATCTGGCTGGGAACAGTTCAGACCCAACCGATCTAGCTTACAGTAGAAAATTAATTTTTCATTTTAATTTTCAAACTTTACATTACAAAATGTCAGGATGATTAGCTGTAGAAATGAAGTGATATGATAGAAAAATTCATCCAAAGGTTATCAGCGTACAGATCAGGACATCTAGACTTCATTCCCTCTCTAATTAGGGTTTAAAATAACATACACTATCTAAAATCTATCTGTCATACTGCATCATACTTATTATTACATATATTAAAGGGACTATCCCTGTCAGTATTACATATATTAAAGCTACTGTCCCTGTCAAAAGAAAACTTAATATTAAAGAAGCTATCCCTGTCAGAAAAACATATAATGAAGAAGCTATCCCTGTCAAAAAATTACATACATGTATATTAAAGCTATTGTCCCTGTCAAAAAAACTTAATATTAAAGAAGCTATCCCTGCCATGATAGTGTATACTTCATTAAAGTAGCTTTACACTAAAATTTTATATATATATACTATCTTCATACTTTAGTGGGCTATGCCCAAAATGAACGGATTCATCGCTTGCTCACTTTTTAAAAAAATTTTGATTATAGTTTTATTTTCACTTTTTCAAACTCGATAAAGTGTGGGATGCATACTTATTTAACCAATGGTCACTATTAAACACAAATATTAGCCACAGGACGAGTGTATTCTAAGATGTAGTATCCCTTTAAAACTTCATACTCATATAGCATTATATCAATGTGGCTATCAATGACATCATAATTGCATACAATTTCCTATATTAAAGAGATTCTTCCTCTTAGTAGAGTTCCCATCCTTTAAATAAAAGTATACAAACTAACTATCATGTAAATGTGATTGAGGTTGCCCCTTTAAAACAACAGTGAATAAAAATTATCTACAAAAGTAGGCCAACTTTCGAAAACACCCCTTTTAATATAATCTCTGAAGTGGGTAAACCTCTTAAATGTAACCCCTGAATGAATGTTATCTATAAAGTCTATCATGTAATTGGGTTTTGATAGTGCACCACTATACAAAAGATCCACCAGCCAGACAAAGTTTCCATTCTATCATGACTGACAAATCATAGTTAACATTAGTTTGCTAAAAAACACTCTTTTAGATAATACATGTTTATATTACCGTACATATGCTAAGAATATATACCTAAAATGGCTACATACAAAACTTTTTGATGAAATATAATGGTGAGATTGATTGACAACAATACGCTATGAGGAAAATTCTTTAAGGACAGCAGCAGTAACCTACACTTTTTCATTCTCTTATGGTCAAATAATCCTTACCGCTCATAGTCTGTAGCTCGTTGGGCCTTGAATTTTGTCAAATCTGATTGGTCAATTAATACTGTTTTACACTCTTAACCAATCAGATTGTTGCATTTTCGAAATCTTGTCTCGTCTCAGTAACATTTTTTGTAGAACCGTCTCCAGTTCATTTACACATTTAAGTACGGTAAAAAGAAAGAAAACCAATCCAGACATCATTATTGAGTAAAAACACATGAGAGTTATCTCCCTTCCAATCTAGATATTTAATCTTGTAATATTGAATCTTATCAGGCTGGACGATCTAGTTTCTCGGTGGTTTACCTTTCACGACCAAACAATGGCGACTGAGTAGTTCCATTGTGTTCACATCATTATCTTTCAAATCATAACAAAAAACCATACAACATATCCAACTGTATACATTTTCAATGGCAAAAAATTAGTTGGACAAACTCTTTACAAAGGCGGTTTCATCAAAAAGTCTTTTTTTTTTCAAATTTCTACTACATAATTATTTTGAATTAGATGTCAAAAAAGATTAGCTTTGATGTCGTCAAAGAAACATAATAATCTAATTATGTCTGTTATTTTTTCAAAAAACGATTCAAATTTTTCTTTTAACGTTAATTATCCAAAATTTGACGAGTAGTAAAGATAGGTATCTATAATATCCGACCCCTTCCGGAGAAGATCAAAGATGTTATTTTTTTTTAAGTGTAAGGGAGATTTAAATAAAGATACAACAGTAAAATTGCAAGCCTTGCATAAAATATACTGCGTATTGAGTAAAAGAAGGACAGTCATATACTATATAATTTCAAGTATAACGCTCCCCCTTCTAATTTGCTATCTACACCTATATCTTCTATTTGCACTATCCAAAACTGCTGTTATTTTGATAGATAATAAGATCTCAATTGCTGGCTGAAGCCACTTATTAAGCCCATAAAAGGGATATCATCGTCAAAATAACCAAATTTTAAGCTGTTAGAGCTGAATTTTAGCTATTTGTTTTGATTTCTATTTTGCAAAGCTTGTTGTTATCACAATCCTTATTGTTGCATTTGCATCTGTGGCAGACAAACCAAGCATTAATTTATATGCTGAAAAGAGCTAAAGATCAGCTGGTATAGCAAATATTTACACGATGCAGGTAACTGAAATTGAGCTCTATCAGCTGTTAGAGCAAATATACAGATAGCTGAAATTGAGCTCTATCAGCTGCTATAGCAAACATACAGATAGCTGAAATTTAGCTCTATCAGCCACTATAGCAAACATACATATACAGATAGCTGAAATTGAGCTTTATCAGCTGCTATATCAAATATACAGATACAGATAGCTGAAATTGAGCTCTATCAGCTGCTATATCAAATATACATATACAGATAGCTGAAATTTAGCTCTATCAGCTGCTATATCAAATATACATATAGCTGAAATTGAGCTCTATCATCTGCTATATCAAATATACAGATAGCTGAAATTGAGCTCTATCAGCTGCTATAGCAAACATACAGATAGCTGAAATTTAGCTCTATCAGCCACTATAGCAAACATACATATACAGATAGCTGAAATTGAGCTTTATCAGCTGCTATATCAAATATACAGATACAGATAGCTGAAATTGAGCTCTATCAGCTGCTATATCAAATATACATATAGCTGAAATTGAGCTCTATCATCTGCTATATCAAATATTCATATACAGATAGCTGAAATTGAGTTCAATCATGGTATAGTAAATATTTAAACAACACTACAGAAAGCTGAAACTGAGCTCTATCAGATTGTGAAGAAATTTTTGAAACATGGTTATCATTGTAATGATAAAGTTATACCTTTCATATCATAAAGCAAGAACCATTTGATCCTCATTTGGTGGAGGATCATTATCATCTGCTGTCATATCGTCTAAATTTGGCACGACTGCTTTTATCTTCTGCTTTCTGGTTTCTTCTGAATCATCTGAAAAATTATGAACAAAAATTTGACTTACTCAAACTCAGATTTCATTATGAAAAGTGTTACTGTACTGGTCAACTGAATAGAGTGAAAAGTTGGGAACAAATATATAACTAATAAAGACGCCCATTTGCTTTATCAGCTGTTGGATTTCAATTTCAGTTATCTGCATAGCCATCTTGATATCTGTTTTATCAGCTGATAGAGCTCAATTTCAGCTATCTGCATAGCCATCTTGATATCTGTTTTATCAGCTGATAGAGCTCAATTTCAGCTATCTGCATAGTCATCTTAATATCTGTTTAACCAGCTGATAGAGCTCCATTTCACTCTTGATTACTTTCAACTCATTTATATTATAAAAAATACAAAGAGATTGCGGAAATGCAAATAAAATTTGACAAATTTGAATTTGAAGCAGACACAATCAAAGGGAGATTATTCATACCTGGTAAGTCAGTGGCTGGTAAACCAAACGTCTCTGGATCAAAGCTGTCAAGTGAATGACCATTTAATGGTGGCAATTTTTTATTTTTCTTTTTATCTTGGTACTTCATGTTTAAAAGATTGTCGACATGTGAGTCTGACATGGATTGACCATTTTCCATCGGACCTGATTTCATAGGCGGTGGATTCAACTTTTGTTTCCGCTCGGACCTCTCTAGAATGAAAAAATAAGAGAAATGGGTGTGGAAGCTCAAACTTATGTGAGAGTGCACTGGATATCTGTAATAAACTCATAAATGAGGTCAAAGGTCAAAGGCATTGAAATCAGAAAATATTTGAAGGGGTCAAGGTTATCTGCCTCAATTATCTTTCAAAATTTTCATCAATCAATATTGTCTAACTTCTTCAATCTCCAGCTCCATAAATCATCTGGATCCAAATTTTGTATCGTTGAATATTCACGAAGACCCCATATCTCAAATTTAACTTCTCTTTCCAAGCTCCTGTTCAGCAAGTTTTCTTCTTTTTCATCACAGGCTTTTCTTCATAGAGCCACATCACTATCAGTGGCTCAGACCACAAACATTCATCTTTATAGCTTCAGTTCTGAAATCTTAGCCTATCTCTTCATATAGCAATGCTATGGCAGAATCCAAATCATCTGTCCTGATGAGGAATTGATATCAGAAACACTAACAGGAGCTTGAACAACCAAATTCTTACCTCTCAAACCTTCAACAAGTCTAGCACCTTTACCGAGTCTATCACAGAATAAAGCGAGATGTTTCTTCACCTTTGAAGTATCGTTTGGTATAGTGAGGGGTGAAGGATTGATTGCCGTGTCTTTAGCAGTTTTAGCTAATACTGTTCGTAAGAGATGAGTCACTGCAGCATCAACCATTTCTTCCCAACCCTGAAAAACAAAAATTCAATTTCCAGTACTGTTGGTGTTTATTATGAACATGCAAATTCAAGAGCTCAAATGCCTTTGTTGACTCCACTCAAGAGCATACGTCACCTCTTCCCATCCAATGGATATCTGCACAACTTCCATGTTCTTTGTTATCATGACTCTCAGTATAAAGGATGCCTGAATGCATTATATTCTTCCTTTCGCTGACAGCGAACATGAGAGCAGAGCCTCCATTTTCTGCGCCCAAGCCACTGCCCAAATGGACATCTGCACAACTTTCATGTTGGTTGTTATCATTGACTCTTAGTGTTATGGCTGCTTACAATTCTTTCTTTTACCGAATGAACAAAAAGGCAGACCCTCCCCATATATGCATCCCTCTCCATGCCCAAAAGAATGTCTGCACAACAACCACGTCATTATTATTGACATCAGGTATCATTTTTGCAAACCATGAACAAAGTAAACCTTTCCCTCCCTTTCTGCCAGCCAGTCCAAATAAGAATTCATCTCCATACCACAATTCACAGATTTAAAAGATGCCTAAATTTCCAAATGGGTATCCACACAACTTACATGTTGGTCATTATCATTGACTCGTGGTGTTATAGCTGCTGTCAATATGTTAAATTCTTCCTCTGATAAATCTAACCATAGTTTAATAAGATAGTTTAATAAATAAGTACCACTACTCAAATTATTTGACGTTACATTCTGGGCATGGTCGTTATCTTCTATTGCTTCTGCCAGGGCTAATAACTGAAATATAACAACATCCAAGTTACTTCCCTTGGAATCTGAATTTTGGCTTCACCTAATGTTGCAGAGAGAACACCAAATCTAACTTTAATAGCTATCCTGGATCATTCAAGATGATGAAATCATTGAGGTAGACATGAAATGAGTCCAAACGCTATCCTGGATCATTCAAGATGACAAACTCAGTGAGGTAAATAAGAAATGATTCCAAACGCTATCCTGGATAATTCAAGATGACAAAATCAGTGAGGTAGACATGAAATGAGTCTTGCAGCTATCCTAGATCATTCAAGATGATACAATCAGTGAGGTAGACATGAAATGAGTCTTGCAGCTATCGTAGATCATTCAAGATGATACAATCAGTGAGGTAGACATGAAATGAGTCTTGCAGCTATCCTAGATCATTCAAGATGATACAATCAGTGAGGTAGACATGAAATGAGTCTTGAAGCTATCCTAGATCATTCAAGATGATAAAATCAATAAGGTAGACATGAAATATGTCTTGTAGCTATCCTAGATCATTCAAGATGATAAAATCAATAAGGTAGACATGAAATATGTCTTGTAGCTATCCTAGATCATTCAAGATGATAAAATCAATAAGGTAGACATGAAATATGTCTTGTAGCTATCCTGGATCATTCAAGATGACAAAATCAATAAGCTAGACATGAAATGAGTCCAAACGCTATCCTGGATAATTCAAGATGATACAGTCAGTGAGGTAGACATGAAATGAGTCCAAACGCTATCCTGGATAATTCAAGATGATACAATCAATAAGGTAGACATGAAATGAGCCCAATAACCATCCTGGATCATTCAAGATGACAAAATCAGTGAGGTAGACAAGAAATGAGCCCAATAACCATCCTGGATCATTCAAGATGACAAAATCAGTGAGGTAGACAAGAAATGAGCCCAATAACCATCCTGGATCATTCAAGATGACAAAATCAGTGAGGTAGACAAGAAATGAGCCCAATAACCATCCTGGATCATTCAAGATGACAAAATCAGTGAGGTAGACAAGAAATGAGCCCAATAACCATCCTGGATCATTCAAGATGATAAAATCAATAAGCTAGACATGATATGAGTCTTGTAACCATCCTGGATCACTCACCCACAGTATTTACCTGTCTATATGTGCCCTCTAGCAACGTATCAAGATTCTGTAATGGTGAGGGAGTTTTATCTTTAAATTTGGTCAGTAATCTTCGTTGTATGACACGAAACTGACTTGACCTTTGACCCAACATTTCTTTACATTTCACGGAATTCATTCTATACTGAAATGAAATAATTCACATTTTTTTTTTCAAGATCAAAATTTTATTCCATAAAAATGTCCATGCCGAGATCAGAACGCTTTCCGCATGTGCTGAAAAAATAGAAAGTGCTGATAGAATTCAAAACATCAGGGAAGGAATTAAATGGGAAAATTTTGAATGTGACCTATCTGCTTTCATAACCTTCGATTTGGGCCAAATTTGGAACAGAACTCTGCAATCGAGCGCCACTCTTGTGACAAGCATCTGATGTATAAAAATTGGTGAGCATCATACTCATAATTATACAATACTCACCTCAAAATGTGCCTCGATCAACTCAAAATATTCCTGTAAAGGCAGCGAGCCATCAAAAGATGGTTTGAAGTCTCCTGATTTACCACGATTAAGATAGGAGGACATTCTTTCAACTAATTCTTTTAATGGTAACCACATTGCTTCAAACTGATCACATTGGATACGATATCTTTCTAAAAATAGAAACAGGTAAGAGCTCATCACACGGAGTCAGGACTACTATAAATGGGGTAAAAATTCCAAAATGTGGCAATCTTTTAACGGTAACCACATTGCTTCAAACTGATCACATTGGATACAATATCTTTCTATAAATAGAAACAGATAAGAGCTCATCACATGGAGTCAGGACTACTTTAAATGGGGTAAAAATTCCAAATATGGCAGGCCATCCAAAATCGTTTGGCACCTCTCATTTTTGGCCCCTCCCTCAGGCATTTTCTAGAAACGCCCCTGCATCCGAACAAATAGATACATTAGTATACTTACGTGATGTTTTAGAAGCTAGAATAGTAACAGTTGGACCCCCGAAAAATTGAAATCCTAATGCAGCTCCTGCACCTCCAGCGTTTTCTCCCAACAAATCTAACATGGTGAAACAAAAAATAATACGTAAAAAAAAAGTTCACGTAATTTTAGATACTTCCAAAATCAGTCTTCAGTAGATGGTGAACAGCTAAATGGAATTCACTCTTGATTGTCTTATTGAAATTCAGACCACACTGAAGTTAGTCATAACATGACTGAAGAAATAGTCATGTAAAATCATTTTTTTAGCAAAAGCAAAAATTACCAATGCTAAAAACTTTGGGAATTC